CTGCAAATTGAACAGTTTGCTTGAACAATAAAGAACAGAGGGGAAAAAAAAAAGAAATCAAATGTGGTATTGCACTGGGCAAATGTGCTGCAGAAGACCTTTTTAAAGTGATAAGGAGCAAAGATGTTACCTTGAAGACTAAGATGCACCTGACCCAAGCCATGGTGTTTTCAATTGCCTCATATGCAAGTGAAAGCTGGACAATAAATAAGGAAGACTGAAGAAGAGTTGATGCCTTTGAACTGTCGTATTGGCAAAGAATGGTGAAAATATCATGGACTGCCAGAAGAATGAACATATTTGTCCTGGAAGAAATGCAGGAGGAATATCCTTAGAAGTGAGAATGGCCAGACTTTGTTTCACATACTTTGGTCACGTTGTCAGAAGACAGCAGTCCCTGGAGAGGGATATCATGCTTGTTAAAGTAGATGGTCAGCAAAAAGGGGAAGATCCTCAACAAGATGGATTGATACAATGGCTGCAACAATGGGTTCGAGCATAGAAATGTTGTGAGGATGACACAGGACTGGGCAGTGTTTTGTTCTGTTGTACATAGAGACACTAGGCATTGGAACTGACTCAACAGAACTTAACAACAATGGTCATTTCCTCCTAAAGCACATAGACCCCTTTTAAGCTCCTGGCCAAAGCAAAACTGGACCCCTCACTGTCTCTCACAATGTCAGGCTCCCAACATTTTTCCTATGGAAGCTACTGCTGTTGAAGGGAAGGGCCAGGAGACATATCACCAGGTTTAATGCCCAATCCACCAATCGTCAATCTTTAAAAATCATTTCAGTTCTCTAAGCCTATATTTCATCATTGATTACAATGAAGACAAAAATCAAACCAGTTGTCAAGTCAATTCTGATTCAATGACCCCACGTGTGTCAGAGTAAAACTGTGCTTCATAGGGTTTTCAATGACTGATCTTTCAGAAGCACATATCCAGGTCTGTCTTCTGAAGTTCCTCCGAGTAGATTCAAACTGCCAGCCTTTCAATTAGTAGCCAAGCACCTGTTTGTGAAACCCAGGGACTCCTGGAGACAATAATAACCCCCAACAAAAATGCCAGGAGGATTAAATAGACAATGTCTGAAATGAATTAAATTCATTTCATCCCTGCTAATATATATCTATAGTGGCACATTTTTAAGGTCTTCTTCAGTGATTTCATTTTCTTTCTCAAAACTTCTAAATTCACATTTAGATTTTGCCTTGCTTATTACTTAATGTTTTCCCATATAAACATGCTTCCCTGCAATGAGGTTGTCAGTTCTGCCAGGACAGACACTTGGGAGTTGCCCTTGACTGCTCCCTCTTCCAACTTCCTGGATCCCATACATCTCAGTGTCCTGTGGTTTTATCTCTGAATGGGTCTTGTTTTGGATTGAATTTTCTCCCCCTAAAATATGTGTTGGAAGCCTATACCTGTGCATGTAATCTCATTTGAAAATAGAGTTTTCTTTTTTATATTAAAGAGGTCCTATCAGTGTAGCTCTGGTGGTGTAGTGCCTAATGCATTTGACTGCTAACCAGAAGGTTGGCAGTTCAAACCCACCAGCCACTCCTCTGAAGGAAGTTTGGGCAATCTACTTCTGTAGTGATACTGCCTCGGAAACCCAAGGAGGGGTTGCTATGAGTCAGATCTGACTCGATGGCAGTGAGGTGGTTTTTTGTTTTTTTTTTTTTATCAGTGTAGGGTATGTCTTAAACCTAATTATTATTGAGTTATGATGAGCAGCATAGACACTGAGACAAGGAAGTAAACTTATGGAAAGATAAATGTCATGTGAACATTGCCAAGGGACCAGAATGCTGGAAGAGACAAGGATCTTTCGCTAGAGCCTACAGAAAGAGAGCAATGCCTAGGGCATTGCCTAGAGCAATGTCCTAAATTTGGACTTAATGTCTCTTAAACTATGAGAAAATAAATTTTTGTTCCTTAAAGCTACCCTAGTGTGATATTTGTGTTACAGAAGCTTAGGAGACTAAGACAGTTCTCTTGACTCCTTTCCCTTCACATCTTTCCACAGACATCACCCCAATCCAAATACCATACTTAACTTTTTTACTGGCTTCATCTTACCTATTCCACACAAGTCCCCATTCCCAGTCTATAATCCTTGCACCAGCCAAAGTGATATTTTTATTACAAAAAAATAAATAAGCAATTGTGTCATTCTCTACTTCTACTTTGGGCAAGGTTTCTTGTTGCCTTTGGATTAAAACTCTAACCCTTGGCAAGGCTCTAGCTTGCTTCTCCGTGTTGCATCCTGCACACCTCTCACTCTGTTGTTCTGTTCTTGTCCCAGCATCTGCTTCCAGTGCCTCCCCTCCTGGTTAATTCCTACTCATCTTTCAGGTCCCTGCTTAGATATCATCAACTAAGAGATGGTTTTTCTGACCTCTACCCCATCATCTAAATTAGATTTATTTACAGCTTTCCCTCACTCTATTCTCATTATTCTGTGTACGCTATTTTTCACCTGTCTGCACTGTTAACAACCCTCCCCAAGTCACCACCAGATATGCAGGCACATTGTCTGTGTCCTTGTTAATCCCATATGCCTCCCCCCATATATTAGATGGCCATGACCATGGTAGACATCCATGAGAAGAATGGATACACAAGGAGTGACAGACTCCTGATGCATATACTCATGAGAGCTCTGTGTTGTGCTTAGTACCCAGCACTTGCCCCTTGTTAAGTGTTACATGGTTTCTTCATCAGCAGAAGTGATCTATTATGAATGGCCTTGGAAGGGTAGGCATAACCCAATCAAGCATTTCAGACACACTAGCTTTTCCTCACAGGAAGTAGAGACCAAGGGAAGGGTCTGCTAATGCAGGGATTACCAAGAGCAAAGGCAAAAAGAAAAAGGAAGTTTTAGGCCAGAAAGAGCTTAAAGAATTAATTATGTCAAAAACACAAAGCAGATACCTGTGGGTGATCTTCATGGTACAACCTGGGCAGCAATCTCACCATAATACACACCATCCCAGGGTGCATGATTGCAATATCACCTTCTTCTGTCCTGCAGAGAGAAAGGAAAGAAGGACATAACTCTCAGAGTTCCTTCTACTCTCCTTCTCACAGAATTTTCTTGATCTTTCTTTCTGAAACAGACCAAGATACACACCCTAAGTCTACCATTTATTTTCTGTACGACCCTGAATTAATTAAACTGAGGTTAATTTTCCTAATGCAAAGTAGAGCTAATGATACCATATGTTCCTTAGAGATTTATAGAATAATGCTTTTGTGCTCTAAGTCATGGTGTCTGGAACATAGTTGATGCTCAGTAGAAGTTAGTTTCCTAGTTATCTTCTCTTCCTTCTTCCCCCAGATAAGTACAAGATTGAGACTCTGATTTTATATTAAACACACACACATTGCACTTCCAAATCTAATTAAGACGTTGTAAGCACACTCCACTATATCTTTCCCACTGAAAGCAACTGAAAACCTTGGACAAACTGCATGGAGTAGCAGCTCCTCGTGACTTCTGAAAAGTAAATAGTTGGCAGAAGAAAACGAGAACTCAGAGTACCATGGAACTGGAGAGAAGTTTCCTGTATTTGTTTTCCCTCTGGTATCCCCTGAGATGGACTAGAAGGCAGCCTGAAACCTAGAACTGTGTACCAGGTATGGATGGGACAGAAAGAGCCCCAAGAAAAGGTCTCTGTTTCTGTTTCCTGGAATAGGAAAGGAGCCTCTTACAGATCAGAGAAGAAATACCTCAGGATCTTCTTATTGAATTCTCCCTTCTTTTCTACCTCAGTCTCCAAGTAATCTGGCATCAGCAGTAACATTCACAGCAGCAGTGATCAAACAGGTGTCTAAGATTCTAGGAGGAGAACTCTTCTCTCTGACCAGATGAACTATGGCCTTAAGAGTATGGGTGAAATCCCCATTTTTGTTGTTGTTGTTGTTGTTTGTTTGTTTTTATTTTTTTATACTCTCACTTCTTGTTCCCAAAATGGATGCAGGAAAATTAAAGCCCCAGCTTTCTAGACAAAGAAACAGAAGAAAGCTGGGGAAGTGTTGTGGAGATGATGAAGAGGAGGAAGCTTAAGAAAGTAAGACCATACATTTTGTATTAACTTCTGGGCTCAATTCTGAGCTGTGCATGCATGAAGCTATCCCTAAACCACATAGCAAAGACTTTGAAACAATGGGGTAGACTATTGTCTAAGACTGGCAATTACATGGGGAAAATGGAGGATAGATCAAATAACATTGCAAAGCCTTTGAAAACAGAACTGACATTGTAAGCACAGCCCACAGGAACTTTTAGCTGAAACTAAATTGATTAATTTCCTGATAAAATAATATGTCCAAGGTATGTAAACAAAAAACATAAATATTCAGAATGTTCAGGATACAATTTGAAATTGCTCAACATAGAAAGAACAGGAGATCTCAATATCTCATGTGGTAGAAGAGAATCAACAAATGTCAAGGCCAAGATAACACAGATGTTGGAATTATCAGACAAAGATGTTAAAGAGCTATTATTAACCAAACTCTAATAAATAAAGGTGAAAAAATCTTGAAATTAATGGAAAAATATAAAATCTTAGTGCAGAAATAGAAGCTATAGAAATTAATCAAATGGAATTTCAAGAACTGAAAAATATAATAGCTGAAATAAAAAATTCACTGAATGAGAATAGCAGAATAGAGATGTGAGAGGAAAGACTGTGGACTTGAAGACAGGTCAATGGAAATTATCCAGTCTGAACGACATAGAGAAAAAATATTAAATAAATAAATAGAGTCTCAAGGTCATGTGTGACAATAACAAAAGATCAAACATTCCTGCACATCAGAGTTCCAGAAGGGGATCAAAAAGAATGTGGTATAAAAAGAAAGTATTTGAGAAAATTTTAGCCATTGTTTCTTCAAATTTGGTGAAACATATAACAGTCAATAAACTTCTCAAAACTCAAACTAAAGAAACTCAAAGAAATCAATGTCCAGACACACAATAATCAAACAGTGGGATTCTGAAAACAGAGAAAAAGTCTTGGAAGCAGCCAGGAAAAAAAAAGAAAAGAAAGAAAAACAATTTGAATGATTGTAGATTGCTCACCAGAAAGCAAAAGAATTAAAATGTTGAAAGTGCTAAAAAGGACTGTCAGAATTCCATATCCAGTAAAAATATTTTTCAGGAATGAAGGCAAAATAAAAACATTCTCAGATGGAGGAAAATAAATAGAATGTGTTGCAATCGAAGTTTTCCGAAAAGTTCTTCTGATGGAAGGGAAATAATAACATAAGGAAACTTGATCTTCGAGAATTCAGGAAAGAGCAATAGCAATGGTAAACATTTGGGTAATATAATAGATTACCTTTCTCTTCTTAAGTTCCTTAAAATATGTATGGTGGTTGGAAGAAAAAAATATGATTGTATGTAATACATATGACAAGTACAATATAAAAGGAGAGGAAATTTTATTTCTATTATTAATATTACTCTAAGGAGACTTCTAAGTAGAAAAGTTATGTAAATTGTAATCTCTAGGGAAAGCACATAAAAATAATATGAAAAGAGACAAAATTCGATAGATCAATTAAAATAGAATACTAAAATATATTCAAATAATCCACAAAAATCAAGAAGAGAGAAACTGAAGAACAATAAAAGAAGAAACAAGGAGAAAAGAAATAATAAGATGGTAGACCTAAAACCAAGCATATCAATAATTATACTATGTTTAAATGGTCTAACAAGCTAATTAATAGACACGTATTGTCAGAAAATAAAATTATACTCTAATAGAAACTCATAATAACTATAATGATATAAAACCCACTCACTGCTATTGAGTCAATTATGACTCATAGCGACCCCCATTGGGGTCCAAGGTGGCAAATCTTTATGGAAGTTGATTGCCCCATCTTCCTTCTGTGGAATGGCTGGTGAGTTTGAACCACCCATCTCCTGATTAGCAGTCAAATGCTTTAGGCACTGAGCCACCAGAAGCACTATGCCACCTGGGGGGAAAAAAAAAAAACCTCACTGCTGTCAAGTTGGATCTGACTCATAGCAATCCTCTTTGGGTTTCTGAGGCATATCACTACAGAAGCAGATTGACCAATTTTCCTTCCGAGGAGTGGTTGGTGGATTTGAACTCCGGTGCTTATAGTTAGCAGTCAAATGACTTAGGCACTAAACCACCAGAGCTCCTTATAATGATATAGATAGGTTAAAAGTAAAAGAACAGGAGGAGACAGGTCAAGATGGTAGAGTAAGTAGTTACTTCATTTATCCCCCAGCAACCAACCCGCTGAACAACAAATAAAAGCAAGCACAGACTGAGATCTCAGAACTCTGAATGGCAGCTGAAGTATTGGAGAGTTTAGGTGAGTCTAGAAACAGAGGAGAGAAGTGGGACAGCACAGAACCTGGGAGATTCTATTGCTGACACCTGGAGGACTTGGCTCATCACAGCCATTTGACACAGGAACAGGCAACACCCCAAATAAAGACATAAAACGAGGACTAAACGGGATAGAGCTAGAGCTCAATTTTAAAATGGTGCAGATCAGCTGTGAGAGTTCACAGCTCATGCACTTGGCAAAGGACAAAGGGAGACTGAGGTGATGCAACAAGTGCTGTTGGATCCTCAAGACCTGAGATAGATGGGCTCCAGGACGTAGATATACTGAAAAGCTGCACAACACAGCCTTCGGCTAGGGTGAGGAATATACTTCACACAGGCAACACCGAGAGAAGCAACTGATTCACCGCCCATAGCAAGACACATGTGGGAGAATCTGTAACAGGGGTGCCCTTAAAAGAAAGACAAAAGCTCTCCCCGACCTTTGCCTCAGGAAAGCGAAGCCCCAACACTTATGCCTGTGTCTCTGGCCAGCAAAAAACTCCCACAATGCACATTGACTTGCAGAAGCTAAGGCTAACCGGAAGGCTAGAGGTTAAAACCCTGCAGTCACTCCTCAGAAGGAAGGTTGGGCAGTCTACTTCCGTAGTGATACTGCCTCGGAAACCCAAGGAGAAGCCACTATGAGTGGAGTCTGATTTGACGGCACATAACAACAACAACAACAAGCCACCTCAAACTCCAGGTAAGGGGAAAAAGGAAACCAATAGCAGAGGTACACTCAGGGCCACAGGCCAAACTTCAGAAGACAGAAGGAGCTAACATGCCAGCAAAGTCAGCCATCTCAGGGAGAATTAGCCAGAATAAACGCCCAGAGACTTCAGCACCCAGACAAAATCCACACAGAATTCCTAAGTGCTGGGATAAGGAAAAAAAAAAAAAAAAAGGACAAGAGTGCCCTCTAGTGGTTCTTAGGAGAAACAAAAAAAAAGCACCAAGCCCACTGCCATAGAGTCATTTCAGACTCATAGCGACCCCCACTGGGTTTCCCAGCCAGTAAATCTTTACAGAAGTAGATCACCCTGTTTTCCTTCCATGGAGCAGCTGGTGGGTTTGAACCACCAACCTTCTGGTTAGCAGACCCAACTTATAGCGACCCCTCCTTGGGTTTTCAAGGCCATATCACTACAGAAGTAGATTGCCTAACCTTCCTTCCAAGGAGTGGCTGGTGGGTTTGAAACACCAGCCTTCTGGCTAGCAGTCAAATGTCTTAGGCACTATACCACCAGAGCTCCTAAGGTGTGTAAACTAAACTTGATCCCATTGCCAACTCATAGCTAAACCTATAGGACAGAGTGGAACTGCTCCATAGGGTTTCAAGGGCTGTGATCTTTACAGAAACAGACTGCTACATCTTTCTCCTGATTGGTGGGTTTGAACTCCTAAATTTTTGGTTAGTAGTCAAATATCTAACCATGCCACTAAGGTTGCTTCTAACAAGTATAATTCCCTTGAAAATCAGAAAATTTAGAATTTAAAATATTCTTTAAAGAATATATCAAAATGTCCTGAGTTCATGGGAAGTCCTAGACAGAGAAGGAGGGGAAAAAAAGAGAGGGGTGGGGGAGAAAAACAAAATTCAAAAATATAACAAAGACCAGACTTACTGGTCTGATAGAGACTAGTG